TCTTCTATATTTTCTTTGCTTCTGCTTTGCTCACGACTTTCTACTTCTTCTTGAAGATACTTGAGTAGATCTTGCAAGTCATCGTCTGCGCAAATGTCCCGGCTGCTTTCACGTGACTCGTTACAAGATGATGTACTCTTGGCAATATACTCGTGGTATTCAACAACGATGCCTGTTGGCAAGGCTCTGAGTATTATGTCGGTCATCATAGTCGCGTAAGTATATAGAAAAATAAACGTTGAGGCCGTTCAGTCCACGTGTGAGACACTGAACGAAATTGTGCAAGGTCCTTAACCCCTGGATGTCTTTGAAGCGTGTGACGTTCGGTAGTTCTCGTAAGCGTCGCAGGTGCTCCGGAACTTTGAGGTGCTGGTCCCGAAAACGGCTTTTGAGGATCATCATAACACTCTTCAGTCGATTTAAGGCCTTCAATCGTGGTTGCCACTATACCACTCAGAGGGTTTCTTAAGTAATAAAACTTCTCTCTCCTCGTGTGCCCTTCATTCTGGTGAACCGATGCCTTAAATTGTCCCCAGCATCCAGGCCACTTGCAACTTTCTCGAGAGAATGCTTGCAGCTGAAGCACTGGTAGCCTTATAGATCGTTGGGCACGCGTCTCATCCCGCTGTGGAACAATAGGCGTTGCTATTGGGGGCACGGAGATGAATGGAGACTGATTAAGTTGCAGTTGCGCCTGTCTAGCCTTTATTTCTCCGAGCGTTCCTCAAAGAGGATCTTGATACCTCATGACCGCTTACAATTCCGCAGGGAAATCATCATCAGTGACGTACTCCTCTATCAGCTCATTCAACTTGTCTAATTCTGCGTTGTTCGCTTCCAGTCGTTCGACTAGGGACGCTATGGAACCGATGTTGTCGCTTTCTAAAACGCTCTTAGCTTTGTTGATGAGGCGCGTATTCATTTGTTGAGGCAACGTGCGCTTTTCTTGTAGGCGGTTCATTGTTTCTCTCACGTGATTTTTGTTCCTCCCCTTCTGGAACTGGCGTTCACTTGCGTTGGTGGGCTGCTAGGAGCCACAGTCCCTGCCTGGCTTTCTTTTGCCCAGGTGAGCGTGTCGTCTTATCTTTCACCAGCAGCGTTCGGCAAAGTCATCCGCTTGCTTTCCGAAAGGCTGTCTTCCAGTAGGAAGCTCCTGGCGACAACTCCCGACGGGTCTTCGGCACCACTTGTAGAACAAACCAAGCCAGTTAGGGTTAAAGAATATAATTGCGGCACAGAATAATTACTGCCATAGTGTTCCTGGCAAACGCTGTCGTTGTTCTTCGTCTCCTTTTGTGTGTGTATATGCACGGGCTCGCGCTTTTGAGCACCAAAGAAATAATCAATCGTGCTTACATATTTCATTAAAGTTGAGAGAGAAAACAAGCTGCTGGATGCCTTCCCACAAATTAGAGGCCAAATTCCTGTCACGATGAGACAGTGTGCGTGCGCGGGCATGGGCCGACTCATTGACTTTGCCTAGAATGCTAACGGGGAGCCATTTATATACGCCATACACCATTTAACAGTCCTCAGAGTTTGCCCCGCCACGGTGGTCTAGTGGCTAAGGTACTCGGCTGCTGACCCGCAGGTCGCGGGTTCGATTCCCGGCTTCGGCGGCTGCATTTCCGATGGAGGCGGAAATGTTGTAGGCCCGTGTGCTCAGATTTGGGTGCACGTTAAAGATCCCCAGGTGGTCAAAATTTCCGGAGCCCTCCACTACGGCGTCTCTCATAATCATATGGTGGTTTTGGGACGTTAAACCCCACAAATCAATCAATCCTCAGAGTTTCGAAACATTATCGCGTTTTCGTTACTGGTGGCGAGAAAGCGTGGCAGGCTCGTATTGGGGGTGCTCTAAAGGTCGTCTTCTTTGTCAAGTGCTGCCTTCACGGAACGTGGTTTCTCCTGCGCGCGCGCGCTTATCAGACTCCTAATTCGGGAGAGGACGAAGGTCACTTCGCACGCGGCCAGGCACACGGCCACGTCTACGAAAAGAGTGCGCTGCTGAGATACAGCGGTGAAAAAATTGTGAGAGTTGTTCGCGCTTCTACTGTGTGTACTTGCGTGCTGAATTTACTCATTTTATGTTTCAACAGTGCGCTTCAAGTATCGAGTTGTGAACGTTGTTAGTGCGCGCTCGTCTTGTGTACGGTAATTTCGCGCGTGCTTTCTGGTTGAGGCGTGCGCTGCAAGTTTCGAGCTGCTTGCCGTTCCTAACGTGACTTAGCATTTTGTTGCTGTTGATGAAACAATGCAAAATAAACGCAGAACTACCCCTCCAAAGGCACTTATCGCTTTCATGTTATATCAATTCTTTATAGGGGGATCGGCCAAGTGTTTTTAACACTATCCCACACATTTTATGTAGGCTTGCCCTAAAAGAAATTTACGCTGCACGGAGAAAACTAGAAATACAATCGTACTTCACATACATGCATCTACTCTGTCTGCTAGATTTTAAAATCTTACCCCTATCAGAAAAAGAAAAATGGTGGAAAATTCAATGCGCCACCTTTGCGTCAGTAGCAAAAAACCACAACCGGAGAACCATCATGAGTGAACAAGACATCATACTTCAACTAGAAGGCCCAATTACGAGACTTGGAACCAATTTGAACAGCACAGAAAAACAATGAAGGCGCGTTATCCTGTGCCCTCTGCTCCAATGGTTTTGGAATTTCTGGAGCCTTTTCAAATATCAGCACCACATCTGTGAATATAGTCGGCTTCAACTTTAGGATAAATACACGCTCCACACCCAGCATTGCAGCACGCCTGTCACTCATCTGTGAAAAAGAACAATGATGGTGATTTCTGTTCTAAGCATAAACGCATTTTTGAGGGTAGTGCAAATAACGTATATTGTAAATGAAAAGTTCTTCGTTCCTTGCTAAATTGTTACGTTTCGCAGAGCAATCAAGTGAGAAGTTTTGATGAAATTCGCCGAGAAGTGAAATAGTTCAACCGAAAAGTAGCGAAATTCTCACGAGTTTGTAAGGCTAAGTGATATGACTGAAACTCGCGAAATCTCCCTGACGTCGCGTAAATGGCGGACTTCAATTTGGTGAAATATATAAGAAATTCTGTTTGGGTAGGACGGTCACTTCTGTGGGCTGAGCTTACATTTATTCTTAGATTGTAGCGGACTCTATTCATTGCTGAGACGCGCTCGGACTTTGCGTCTGACTCGGCGCCTTCGATACAGCGCCTTGTCTGAGGACAGAGTGGCTGAGCGCATAATAAGAAGCAGCAGAGCAAGGCCACCCTTTTTGTGTCCCTTCACGCTCCTTCAAATAGAGCGCGGAGTTCTCTCACTGCATATTTAGCATTTTACTGCAAATCATACAATGAGAAACGTTATCGAATGCACCCAACGAGCAACGCATATGGTATGGTTGTTTCATGTCTGCTTCCACCACCTTCATCGACCCCGCTTGCATGCACTAGGCCGCGGGAACAACAAGGCGTGCTGGAGTGTCATTTAGAATGTAGGTGCATACACGTCATTTAGCGCCACCGCTGTCAAAAACCAGTAGAACATACGCAAGCCATCACATATCAATATACATCATCATCATCACCATCATCATTTTCATCATCAGCCTGTCTACGCCCACTGGGGGAAAAACGCCTCTCCCACGTTCCGCCAGTCGACTCTGTCTCAAGCTTGCTACAAGCATTTACACCCACAAACATCCTACTTTCATATGGCCATATAACTTTCTTTCTCCCCTTCACTCGCTTGCATTCTTTTTGAATTCAGTCTGTGAACCTCCACGACCAGTGGTTATCTCACATGAAAAGGACTTGTTTGTCGTGTTAGTTAACACCAATGAGGTACTTCAGAGCGGAAATAAAAAAAAACCGACTCTAGAAAAGATGTAGGATAGAGCAGAAAGGTCGGTGCTAACCACTTTTAGCGCCCGCCTTTTCGCTCTTTTCCACTTGTTTTTAAAGAATCTGTCCTTTGGATGCGAAGCAGCTATTTGACTAGCCTGTATAACGCTGTCCCTTCGTGCATCAACACTGTGCATGCTCACATTTCGTGCCACGTGCTCACGTCTCGTACTGGCCCAGGAAGACACCCCCAATTCTGTCCCTCCTCTTCCCCTTTTTTACATTGCCGAACTGACACAGGCAGGCTATTCTAGTGAAAAACCGACTGCTCGCGCTGAACAACCACTCACTGGCCACCACGCATATGTAGATACTAGATCGCGCGTTTAAAATTCAGTCAAGGGCGTCTTAATCGGCTATCGCTTTATAAGCGCCAGCGTCAACGTTGTCGCCAGTGTAAGCGTAAGCGCCCGCTGCTTCGCATCAACAAATGGTTCTCTTTAGTGGGAGATGGTTGAAGTTTTTTTTTACGTTTTCGCGCTGTTATGTATCCTATCGGTTATCTTGCCTTCTTGTTACGTGCCCTGCCCATGATCATTTCTTCTTGATTTGAACTAAGATGTCTTTAACACTATTTGTTCCTTGAAACACTCTGGTCTCTTTTTGTTCACTAGGGTTACACCTATAATTTCCTTATCAATTGCTCGCTGCTTCGTCCCCAAATTGAGTTGTACCCTCCTTGTAAGTTCTGAGGTTTTTGTTCCACAGGTATGTATAAGAAAGACGCAGCTGTTATCTACCTTCATCTTGAGAGATAGTGCCGATCTACTACTATTGATTTGGGAATGCTTGCTGAATGTGCTCCACAACAATCCTATTCTTCTAGTTGCCTAAATATTGTGGTTTGGCGACACGATTTACCGATGTACCTTTAGCGCTCAACTACCACTGTGATGGCACATTTCAGTTTTGTGTTATAAGTGGCCTATGACGCAAGAATATTACACGTATTTCATTACCGTTGCTAAGCGAACAATTAACCTTGAGCACATCGACTGATAAAATACCTGCACTTTTGTGTAGCTACCTCAATCGAGATTACTTGAAGAGGCTTGATTTTAGCTTCTTCTAAGTGGGTAAAACATCGATGGGAAGCTCACCTGGACAAAAGGGCTCCAAGACCGTTCCTTGAGAAGCTGTAATGATAAACACCATAGTAAATACTGCGACCATGATTGAGCTGGTCATATTTTATCATTCGTGTTTGCCTGAGACACAAGGCTGTATATCTTGTGTAGTAAAATAGACAGACTATTAGGCAAATGAAAACACATGGCGTAATATTCATGGTTTAGAAACTGCAGTGTAAAAATTGTTAAGTGAAAGCAAATCAAGTGCTAAGTGACTAACCCTTTCATCACTGAGATCACAATTCACAGCCTTGGAATTACGCGTTCGGTGCTCCTCTATTGAAGCTACGATGGAAGATAGTCCTGCGTCTGTTTTAATTTTCTAGGTTGTTTTCTCGTGCTCTATCCCCGGGAGTGTCACCCAACATCACTCGTAGCAGAGGTGGCGAGCCTGGCATAATCACCTCTAATGTTTCTCTAAGTATATGAAGCGGCACGTAATGCTCTTTAATTCACTGCTGACCAGTAAACCGACGTAGGATAAGTGAGGAAGTAATAACTTTATCCATCGAAGGGGTGAGTATTGCGCCCTTTTGAATATAGCTGCAGACCGTCAATAGACTGTCTAAAGCTTTTTTTCAAACAGTCTATGCCTTCACTAGAAAAATTCCATATCACACTTTGTCGACAGAAACTGGTGACTTTTTTGGTAATGCAATGAAATAACAAATATGACGAATCCTTTCAGTGGATACCTGCTCACTGTGGCATAATGGGGAACAAAGAGGCTGCGGCGAGAGCCGAGTGAGTTTTCAGCAGAGTAGGTCGATCGCTAGTTTTTTGCACTCCCGTCCTTTTCCTCGTAGTATCTCCACGCACGTTTGCGCTCACGCATTTTAAGGGCTACATATTTCACCACATAGAAGCCACCGCACGAAGGCAAGCCAAGAAAGCCGCTCAGGCAACCTCGGCATCACCATCGGTGCCCACGTAGCAGCAGCAGGAACCACGGAAGTCTGCGTGCTCCAAATACAAACACCGGCCTCAGGGAAACAGCTGTTGTGACACTGCGACCATCATCCAGATTCCGGGCGAATGTAATGGTAAAACCGGATCTTCCTTCTCTCCTGCCACGGCCGTAGTTTCCTGCAAGAAACACCCACCTCGTCATCGTTACTAGAATGAACACCATCTCCTCTCCTCTTCCAGTCCCAGTAGCCGCCGAGCAAACGGCGCCCTCCCCAAGTGCTTGCGTGCCTCCAAGTGCCACTCCGCACTCTCATCAAAGCCACCAAAACCTCCAAGCCATTGGAAGTTTAATTTCGAGCGACCGGGCGGCCACTATCATTTATCGATCAGTCAGAATGAAGGCAAGCTTCCTGGCTGTGTCGGAGGACGTAATCGCCGCTTTCTTTTCGCGATTTCCTGCCACCCAACCTGTGTGAGTGAACTTCAAACGTAACCTTGTTGCGGTTGACACGTACCTTACCACCTTTCTGCTCCAGGTCACGAGATGATCTGCGAGGTACAGATCCAGCTCAAGCAACTGAACCTGAATACGTGTGTTGGAATGTCTTGTAGGAAAAAGTGCGGCGTTCGGTTTTCCACAATTTTTTATTTATCTATGCTCTGGCGTGGACGTCCACAGACGCTGACGTTCTTGCTGGTTTCTTTGCTTGGCTGGCTCGAACACGCGGAAGAGCTGCCGCAGAAATTTTCTTCTCCGAGACGTTGACGACTTTCCATAGGGCCCCATTCTAGCGAGGCAGCCAGTGCTCGAATGAGTGACCCCTATTAAGAAAAGTAGGAGAAAAACTATTTCAACGCAGGAGTTTTGAGCACGCAGGCTTCTGGGCACCCGCACAATCCCGCTGCGCTCTTGTGTTCATTTGGTATTGGTCTATGGCGCTGGCAGCCCGGTCGGCAGCCAGTGTCTGTTCAACCAGGTCCTCTGAACGCAGTAGGGTCTCTCAGTCCTCCCAAACCTTGAAATGTTTCTAAGGCCCGTGGTGAAGGATCCTCCGTTCAGTGAGAAAGAATGTGTATTGCAGAAGCATGCAATTCATTGCAGAGAGTGCAAGCTGGTGTTAGGAAAAGGGGGTGATAGTGCGATAGAATGAGGAGAAGAAAAAGTGTGAGTCCGTACCTGGCGCCAGAGCGTGACCTGTCGGTGTCTAAGAGACTTGTGCGGTTAAGGATAAAGTTGACGCTCCTGCGCTACAGACCTAAGTCAGCTCGTTGAAAGTGGGCGCGCGCTCCTTCGTGAACCTGGGATCGGAGGCCACCAGTGCCCGGTTGAGAGCACCTCAGGCTAAGAGATTAGCAGCCTCATTTCCAGGATTTCCGGACTGCACGGCCACCCAGATCAACCCCACTAGACGGAGCGGGGGTGCAGCGAGCAAGTCCAGTATGCAAAAGGCAGGGACGTGAACTCGGCCTCACGTGAATTTAGGAATTTCGGCTTTGGAATCGGATAAAACATACCGTGCTTCAGTGTTAACAATGTCTAAGGCAATGACAGCTTCCTCTGCAGCTTCCGAGAGGTGTCCGCAAAAATTTTGTGTGTGATATCTCTATTAGGGAGAGTGTGTGGCCCACCATGGCAGCAGGTTGTAGGTTCTACTGTTGAGAAGCGCGTTCGTCTAGTTTTCGCGGATGGCTTGTAGTCTTCCAGGACGGCGTCACTGTAGAAGAAAGCCGGCTTTATGCGGTCAATTTAGACACTGTCTTTGCGTTCATTAGGTAGCAAAACAAAACGCTTCGGGCATCGCTTGACGAGCATAAAGGCCCCGTCGTAAGCAGATTTCACTGGTGGTCTGATTGCGTCATGTCGTACAAAGACGTGGGTGCAGTCACGGAGAGCACAACTGACGAATCATGGGAATGAGTGTTGACGAGCAAGAATCGCAGGCACACCTTTCAAGGCATTCCTGAGGCGATTGCCATTATCAGCTACATCCATTGGGGATACCAGTGACGTGTTATTGAAATTGGCAGATCACACGTACAGTGGGAATCGATGTGACATGTCGCCTTAGAAGACGACATTAACGAAGTGCGCGCGGGGCACTGGCGCTGTGGCACGAGCGCGAGCCTGGCGTCGAACGCTGGCCAGGAGTGACTCCAACGCCTGGGCTACGCTTTTGAACTTGTTCACGTTTCCTGTCCTTTAATAAATCGTCTACAGTCACAAGCGGCTGTACAGACGTAACAGTTGGCGACGAGGAAGACTGGATCGACTCATCGGCACTCCACCGACGTCAAGGAAATAACATGGCGACGCCCGACTTCGGTCGGCTACCCGAATTCAGCGGCAGCCCCAGCTCCTGGAGATCCTGGTATGGGAGGCTACAGTTCTTCTTCGAGGCTAACGAGATTACGGACGCATCGAAGAAACGTGCTCATCTGCTAACGCTGTGCGGGGAACAGACTTATGACATCGTCTGCGCCCTCGTTCAACCCAAGCAGCCCAACCAAGTGAGCTACGAGGACATAGTCAAGATGCTCAAGGCTCACTTCGATCCACAACCGTCTGAGGTCTTCTGCAGGGCACGATTCCAGCGACGTGACCAAAAGCACGACGAAACGGTCAGTGATTACGTCACGGCGCTCAAGAAGCTAGCAGCAGATTGCAATTTCGGGACAAGCGCAGACACTGCAGCGAATCCGACAATGCTGCCTATGGACGTCATGCTGCGTGATCGTTTCGTTTGCGGTCTTCGGAACGAGCAGGTCCAGCAACGGCTCTTCGCAGAAAAGGACTTGACGTTCAAGAAAGCTTTCGACCTTGCACTGCGAGCTGAAAACGCCATCGAAGACCAGAAACGCGTGAAAACCGAATTTAAAGAGTTTCACGAATCCTGCATAAGCACATGCAAGATAGACAACCAAGGTCACTCTAGTGCCTCTGCCCAAAAGAAGAAACAACGCTGTTGGCGTTGTAACGCGCTACATAATCCGGACACTTGCGAGTTCCAGACAGTCTCCTGCAACTACTGCAAGAAACGCGGACACATTGATACAGGCTGCAACCTCACCAGCATATCATCCGGCAACAAACGGCCAGGCAGAACGCTATGTGGCGGAGCTGAAAAGAGCGCTGTTGAAAGATGCAGACAAGTCCATACAGTGCCGACTTGCAAGATTTCTGTATCGGCAGCACACGACAATACACACTACCACAGGTATGACACCGGCGAGAGCGATGTTCGGACGAGAATTGCTCTGCCCTCTCGATCTTCTTAAGCGGGAGACGGATAAGCGAAGTCCTGAGAGCCAGGAGGCATTGCAAAAATCACGCCGCTTCGCTATAGGGGATAGAGTGCTTATCCGGCAGTTTTTGAAAAAGCCAGATTGGATTGAAGGCGAAATACTGCGCCGCGTCGGACCACGATCCTGGCTTGTAAAAAGCGACCAAGGAAAGGTTCGGCGTCACCTCAATCACATGAGGAAAACGAGTCAGACCAGACAAACAACCCAATCGCGGACAGATTGGAGCGCAGCTGACGATCTCTTGGACGCAACGCCAGAAGAGACGCCATCGAGCTCAGCTGCTCAACCGCCTGAATCGCCCGAGATGCAAGATCACACTCCCTCGCAACCGTCGACGTCACAGGCAGTGGCCACTCGGCAACTGCGACCACCAGAGGTTAGGCGACCTCCAGACCGCTATGGAGACTTCGTCTAAGGGAGGAAGAGTGACATGTCGCCTTAGAAGACGACATTAACGAAGTGCGCGCGGGGCACTGGCGCTGTGGCACGAGCGCGAGCCTGGCGTCGAACGCTGGCCAGGAGTGACTCCAACGCCTGGGCTACGCTTTTGAACTTGTTCACGTTTCCTGTCCTTTAATAAATCGTCTACAGTCACAAGCGGCTGTACAGACGTAACACGATGATATGCGAAGTACGAATGAGAAATGTTGATATGTCACTTTAAAATCAGCACAACGTTATGAGGTGGAGGTAAATGATGCCATACATGACTTCCGTGTCATGATTATCATGTTCGGATGTGTTGTTTACTTGCGTCATCTATTCACGTCACGTGAACAAAATATAGTATATGT